CGATATTAAGCATTTACATTCTTTTCTAATTTTATTTAAATTTAGAAGCTTAATTTTATTTTTGGTGCCGCAGCTATTTGCTACATGATTGCCTTGTTCATTCTACACTTACCAATTTCCATGAATATAGAAATACACAGGATCAAATGTGGAACAGAATTTTTTCCTTTCTGAAATATCCTAAATCACTCTTGGCCTCATAACCCTTCACCTTCCTAAAGACCTTATAAATGAAAAATTAGATATTTAAATTTAAAACAAGACGTAAAATTGAAATAAAAGATAAAATATTCTTTTTCCTAATTTTTTTATAAGTTTATTTTTATAAATGTTAAATTTATATCATAAGTCCTACAAATTTTACTTATTATCTTGATGATTTCAAAGTAATATGACTAAAGTAGCAATTATAAATAATTTTGTAAATTAGCTAGCTTAATCCAAAAGAGATCAACATTTAATCCCTATAGATTAATTATACTATAATCTTTAATTTTAGTAGAATTTACAGAAATACAATAAACAATTTTCACCAATAAAACAATCACTGAGGATATATTAATACTTTTATCAAAAAACTGTTCCACTTTTATAATCAATTAATTGTTTTTCAAGGCTTGAATTTTCCGAGCTAAAATTTTTCATAATATTTCAAAAGCAATTTATTTGGACTAATTGATATTTTGAATTCTTTATTTAATTCCTAAAATAAAGATTTTCCCAAAGAATTTGATTATAAAAAAGCATTTCAACCTTTTACTTTATTTCTTCTATTATTATTATTAGCATTTTAATATCTGGGAGATGTGATTGCCATTTGGTTTACTTTACTAATCCGTTTCGATTATTAAATTCAGAATTGTTTTTAATGATCTAATAATTCCTGATTCTATAGATTCTGTTTACATAGTAAGAAAAATTAGCATAGCACAGCAATTAAAAGTAATCTGTTGAATTTTAGTGCAATTTAGATTTATTAAAATATAGCCATAGTTAGAATCTTATGAATATTCTACATAAAAGACTTAAATCATAATAATATATCTGGATTATTAGATTTTATTTAATTTTTATTATTGTAAGGATTGTGAGTATTTGATCAATCTTATGCTTATTGAAATCTCTCTTTTTAGACAAACTACAGGCAGATGTATTATTAAATGATTATGTAATTTTATCAAATTAAAAATTGCTTATACCTAATGTGTATTTTTGAGTTTTTCAGATGTGTATAAATTACTTTAGATTTAAATTAGTAAGAGAAGGGTTTTAAGTAGATTTATCATCCACGATTGTTTTCAGGTGATCTTCTTCAAAATACAAGGTTTCAACTTTATGCAATTTTGAAAATATTTTAACAATTTAAGGATTTTTTTTTTTTAATGCTGCCCTAATTATTAATATAATTACTTAATTATTCATAATCAATTATATTGAATTAAAATGATAATTCAGTTGAATTGATTTCACAAATCAAAAATAGTATATTTTCATCAGATTTAATCATATTTAACTCTAAAAACTTACTATATAGATAAAATTATTTTTTATCGACTATTAAATAGCTTTAGAAATTTTATTATATTTTTTCATGCAATAATTGTTTATTATTATAAGCCTCGATTAATTGTATATAATAATTATTTTTTTATTTCCTTACCTACAAAACAGTCTTACATTACTTCTTTAATTTTTAATCCTACAACAAATCACCAACTATTAGAATTTAATTATTTTCTGTCATAGAATGGAACTTTTCTATTTCTTATAATTTGTTGAATAATTTAAATTAATTTTTTCAAATTTAGTTCTTGTAAGTATTTCTTGAAATTTTATTTATTAAAAAATCATTAATTGTAATTATTAGTTCAAGAATACTCAAAACTGATTTTATAAAATTTCACTTCAATTTTCAACATTTCAATAACTCTTTTATCTTAATGTAAATCTTTGTTATGTTTTACTTTAATGGCCAAAAGAAAATGATCAACAATTTTATTATCTAAGTTTTCGTCACTTAAGTGTATAGATCTACAAAAGAAGCTTCTAATTTCAACAATAACTTTATTCCTAATTAGAATAGATGTAAAAACTTCCACAATTTCAATTAATCTTTATATATTTAAATAGTTCTTTAATAATTAATTACTGCTTGATTAATTCTGATTGTCCAAATAAGCGTTATTTGATCATAATGATTTAAACTGACTTTGTTTTTATGCTACCATTCTCATTTGGAATATCAATGGGTCTTCCTCTAGACTCCAACACAAGAATTTGTATTACCTAAATCGATTTTGAATATGCTTTTAATTTATTGCTTATACTATATTAGTATGATACTTGAAATCAGATAAATTATCTAAATAAATTTACTTTTAATTTTTTAACATATAATAGCCCATTCCATTTTTGCAAAATTGAGATTTTTTATTTAATAAATATTTATTATTAAAATATAAAAAAGCTTTATAAATCAACTAATTTGCTTTAAAGTAAAATAAATTAACATTTAAACATAATAATTAATGATTGATTATATATTTACTAATTATTTAATAAAATTTTACAATAAAAAGTAGTATTTATTATTGAGAGCCATTTTTTTTACTAAAATTATTCTAAATATAAATAATAATAGTAATTAAAACTACTTAATGGCATATTAATATAAAAAAATTAATTTGATTATAATCAAAAATTAATAATTATTATAAACTTTTCTTTGGTATTAATAAGTATTTTCTATCATTCATTCAATTTAAAAAATTTTTAAATCACCATTATAAATAATAACATTACAAATTATGCTTCTCCATTAATATTCGATATAAAGAGTAATTAAATAATAAAATTGTAAATGATGAACTTTCAATATACACAAGAAAAAGGAGGTGATTAATCAATATAAAATGTTAAAATTTCTTAAACTAGTATTCATTTAGTGTTTAGATATGCATGTAAATAATAGGCATATTACAATACTATATTTATAATTTGCATAATTATTTAGATTGATTAGATAATATATGAGAACTAATATTAATATAAAATTCATTAACAAATTCTTTGAGGATCTTAAAGAAAGAATTATTATTAAGATTTCACTTAAAACATAATACAATGTATCGAATTCAATTTCTGATATTGCACAAAAATAAATTCTTATCCTTTCTAAAAAATTCATTGCATAAATATTGGAAGAAAAGTGTTAAAATAAATGAAAAAAATGCAATAGCAAAATACTATTTCTGATTATTAATATTATCTATATATAAGAATATTTAAGAAAATTATACAAATTTAAAAAGTAATGAGTTAAGTAGAGTGAAATAATTTATTAGTTATATTTATTAATTTTAGAAAAAATAGGTACAAAATACTTTAAATTTTATTATAGTATTTAGATAAGATGTCTACTAAATAGTTTTTAATTGTATTGTCAAAGTGTTGATTTGATGCCTAAATGGATATTTGATATATGTAACAAAAAACTTACAAAAATAATAGAATCATTATTATTTTAAGAAACGAGATAAGAAAGAGATTTAGCTTAAATAAATGATATCTATTATTTTATTAGGAATAATAGTTATAGTATAACAGTTTAAACAATAATAATTAAGTTATAATGGTTGAGTAATTTTTACAATTACATTCTTAAGACCTAATGTATTTTTTATTTATAAAATTAATTTATTTAATTATGAATACAAATTTATGAGATTCAACGTATTTACACTTGCAATTTTGGAATGATGCAATGATTTTAATTTCCTACCTTATGTTCTGAATTGATAGTACCATAACTTAAGGATTTACTATTTTTATATTCCTTATTATTTCTTTAGACTAATAATTCATCTGCTTGTTGCTTGCTTATAAGTTTGATTTATCTGGAACTTAATATATCAATTTTAATTTATAGAGTCCTTTAAACATTCTATTTTTTATTTAAATTATCGAGGATGTATTAATATTTATCTCACATTCAAATATTTATTGATTATCTTTGATTATTTTTGAAAAAATTCTCTTTAAGTCGAAGAAGTTATCATATTTGTTAAACTAATATCTTTCAGTTAAGAATTTTCAAGAGAACATCCTTACTACTTACTATTGCCCTCGTTTTGATGTTTTATAAAAAAATTTATCAATAGAGTTTATAGAGTGTTGAATATATTGGTAAAAGTAAAAAATCTAATAAAGCTCTTATAATTGTAAACAAGCCACCTAACTTAGCAACTACATCCATTAAGGTTTAATAAGTGATAAAACAAACTTTTTTCTTAGCATCTAGATGTACTTCAATTCTTGCTAATGTATTTGCATCTTAGAAATAAAGTACACTATCTATCACTGTCTTTTAGTATTCAACCCCTTCATGATAAACTTACTGAGGAAAAAAATAGAAGGGATTACATTTAAGGAAACTTTAAGAGTATTGAAAATAAATTTTAATGTATTTCCCAACTTTGTAATAAAGTGAGGTTAGATCAATATTTTCAGTTTTCTAATATGGTGAATCATCTGATTCCTTATTAAGTTGATGGAAGGAATAGGAGTAATAAAGATTGGAATTTGCTGTATAATCAGTATTTCAATATTTTAAAAATTTTTGTCAAATAACAGATATTATGATTATTTATAAAGGTTTAATGAAATAAAATTATAAATAAATAAAAATAAAAGAGTTTACCTAAATACTTATCAATTTCTTCATTTGATGCACAATCTAGAATATTAATAGATTATACTATTCAAATTAGTATTATTTTAACATCTTTCAATTACTACTCCCAAAAATGTAAAATTATCATAGCGATTTGATCCTTATATTCTTATTTAGTGATTCTATTTGATATATTCATCACTCATACAATAAGTAATATTTTCATATGCTTATGGGATATTTAATTTCTAAGTTAATAATTCTTTTACTATTACTTTTGATGCTTCACGAATTCTTTCACCACAAATTTTCCTCGGTATTACAATACATTCTGTATCATTTTAATGATTTATTGCAGACATAAAATCCAATTTAAAATACTCTGTTTCCCTCATTTGTAATAGGTTGACCCATAATATCAAGCAACCCTGCTGAAAATATAAGTTCAGTGGAATTGAAGCTAAAATCCTAAATAACAAAATAGAAAAAAAATTACTTCATGATTTTGAATGACGGCATCTTAAGAGTTCAATATTGCATTTTTCCCTTTGATCATTTCAAAAATAAATAGACTACCTGAATATATAAGTATGCTAAATAATAATAAAGTCATAAATGCTCCAATCTGAGTCTAATAAAGAGACTGACCTGATGCTTTTAGTCTAATTTATTATTCAAAAATATCAAATCTTCTAAATTTTCTAGTAATCTACGTAATCATTCAATAAAAAATTATTTTTTTATTAATAATTTGCTTAATATTTTATTCCTGTTAAATATTTAATTTGCTAGTATTATTACTTGACATAAATTGCTGGAATTTAAATATAAAAATCAGATTTAATATAATAAACTTATTTTAATTTTTTAAGAATGGAATGAAAGACTTTGGCTTTATTTGGTTGTCTAAGGAACATTGAAGATTAATCAAATAAAAATTAGATTAAACTCTATATTTTTTAACATATTTAATTAAATAATTTATAATTAATTAAAATTTACTAATAAATAAGAAATTATGTTATAAACGATATTAATTAAAAATAATCATATTTTTTATGATTTATTTACAACCTGTTACTAATGTTAATATATTTTATTAAATACAATTTTTTTTCTTTTAAAATTGATTCAACCTTAATTACACATAAGTAAATGAAAATTATATTGAAATGTCCACATTTCATTGTTGTTTTTTATGCAATCAAATATAGCTTAATATTTGGATTTATTTCTTAAAGTGTTTTGTTTTGAAAAAGTAGTTGAAAAATTAATTCTAAATAGGATAGCAACAATCACGCCAATATAAATTAAAAATGATAGTTAATAATTTATGATCAATATAGTATCGCTTGTTTTTGGATAATATGCTAATTGAATGGCACATGCAAAACTTAAATCATATGAATTTGATAGTAGTAATCTTAAAATAGCATTATGATAGAACTCAGACATTTTAATTTATAATATTTTTCGAGCATTTATTACAAGTTTACCAATATTAAAACCAAGTTATTAAATTTCTATATGTCCAGCTTTTTTGAGAAGATGATACAAGATTTTTGCACTATAAAAACTATGTTGCTAGAAAGCAAAAAAAAAAACTCTAAAGCTGTGAATATTTTATCAACACCTAAAGCTGAAATTAAAGGCGAGATTGTTACAAACTTAAAAACTTCAAAATATATGTTAAGATTAGGAGAGGAATCTATATTTATGTATTAGTAGTTCTTAATTAGAAATGTTAAATTAGTAATTTAATAATAATATTTTTAAATACTTTACAGTATTTTACATATGACAAATATTGTAATTAATCCATTAAATTCCAAAATATGTCTGATTATCCTGTCAATAAACAAAAGTGATAGATTTGCAAGCGAAATTACGATTGCTTGATTAAAATCTGAAGCTTGTTCTGCTATTTATGCTTCTGTTTGGCCTAAAACAATAGAAGCAGCAAGTTCAATATTCCCTTAATTTTTTGTAAGAGTTTAATTGTAATCTGAAATAATTGGATTATTGTGAAATTTAACTTAAAGTTCAATAGAGGATAGAAACAAAATTCTATATAAAAGAACTAAATCAGTCAGTTCATTTTCAGATTTAATCTACTAAATACTAGAATTTTCCTATTTGTTAACTGAATTAAATTTAAATATCAAATGTTTCATGAGGATTAGGTGTTAAGACAGTAATAGTAAAATCAAGTTATTTTGAGATTAAACAAACAGAAATAAAATTTAGATTAGTGATACATAGCCAATCTTTTTCAATATTGCATTAGAAATCACAACCATCACCACTTTCTTTATTTCCATCATCACGTTATTCAAATGGTTATAAATGAAATCCATCTCCAAAATCTGTTTAGCAAATGTAATTGATTTAATGCATTCCTTATAAGCATTCATAACAAATTCCTTCTTAAAAATCAATACAATATTGATCACATTGAAATTTGTATTCATAATAACCATCATTTTGAATAAAGCTCATATCATCACATTATTCATTTCCAACTACAATTCCATCACCACATATAGATGTAAATTAATTATTTTTGATAATCCATTATTTTATTCATATCCTTAAATTAACTAATCTCCAAAAAAAAGATAACATTTCATATCAATTGGATTTAATCCCAACCTGGGGAATAGCATTAAAAACATTAACCATCAACACAAATTTAAAATTAAAGCACTCTTCTTCTAATTGTAAATCTCCATAATCATATTATTCATCATGTGCAACAATCCCATCTCCACATATACTTTAACAAGTATTGTTAATTGTATCTAATTCATATCCAAGAAAATATTAAAAACTTTCCGCATAGTTACAAATATGGCAATAATCATTACATTAAAATTTACATTAAGGACAAACATCATATGGAATATATGTTGCATAATCACATTATTCATCATTTGATAAATATCCATCTCCACAAAATGATTAACAATAATTATTAATTTAATCAAGTTATTTTGATTCTTAAATGCATCTTAAGCATAATCCTTTATAACAATATTCACAATCTTCAGGAAAATCAAATTATCCATAAAAACAGCCATCTGCTCCTTAAAAATTCGTATCATCACATTACTCATTTCCAACTACTAAAGAATCTCCAGATTTAGGGTAACATTTCTTCTGAAAATCAAGTTACCATCCTTTTTAACACTTTAAACAATTACCTTTATGACATATCAAACAAGAATCTTAACAAATATATTTACATTGATAACAATTCTGATATATCAAATCATCACATACTTCAATTTTTTATACAATTATTCCATCTCCAAAAATGGGTTCACATTTATATTATTATTCATTTAATTTCCATTCTTCATTATTACATTACATTCCTAACATCCGTGTAAAGGACATAAAGTACAAGATGATTAACAGCTAATTTAACAAGAATAACAGCCATAATATTAAAGATTATTATTGTCCTCACAAATATTATGAATATCCTTAACTAAAGTTCCTTTATCACAAACTTAAATAAATTTTAAATTGATGATAATAATTTATATCCATCAATGCGAAAACTGCACAAACCTTTAATACTTTCTAAGCAATTTTATTCACATAAATATTAACATTAATTACAAAGTCTAGTTAGATGAGTATTATTGTCACATTCTTCAACTTCATGAACAGTTATATTATCTCTACATACACTTTAACAAATTCCATTTGATTGTAAATTCAGAAAAATATCTTAATATATTTAATTATAACATCCATTTAATTCATCACACTATTGACAGATCCCAAATTAGCAATTTATGAATTATGTAGAACATTAAAGTTTGCAATTAAACCATCCATCATATTATGTTAAATTTCCATCTTCACATTATTCAGGATATTACACTTAGTAAAACATCTATTCTCAATTAATTAATAACCATTTTAACAAGATAGATACTATGATTAAATACAAGTAAGACAATAAGCATCGCATTAAAATTCACAAAATTACATCCGTCAAATTTAATATAATTATCATCATCACATCTTTCAGTAAAATTAACTATTATTCCATCACTACAAATAGAATTACAATGTTGCATCCATTTGAGCATATAATTAAAATATAAATAATAGATTGTAACATCCAGCATTTTCATTAAATTAAAGACATCTTCCAAAATAGTAATCAATACAATTAATTGAGCATTCATTTTAACAATTCACAAAATTTCTAGTATTCTCATTTCATTATTATAACAATGTAAGAGATTTGTTTAAACAAATAGAACAACATTTACCACTTACTAATTCATATCCACTTTTACATGCATAACATCTCCTATTATAGCAAATATCACATGCAAAGTTACAAGCAAATTTACAATTATGACAACCATCAAATGGATTATAATTACCATCATCACAATCTTCTTAATCTACTACAATTTATCTCCTCATTTGGGAAGACAGGGCAGATTAATGATATTATCATAATCTCCCCCTTTTAGTTTTTATAAAAGTCTAAAATTTATTTTGATCACAATTTCCCTTAAAGACGTCACAATCTAAATCTGAGGGGTCATTAAAATTTTACTTCATGTATTAATAAAAACTTTTGTAAATATCTAATTTTGAAATTGTGATTTATTAATATTGAGATAAAAGCACTTTATTATTCTTTCAACCTAACTAACTATAAAGTTTCAATTTTCTCATAAAAACAAAAGAATAGCAATGACTACTTTTAATCAAATAATCATAATAATAACAAAGGAGTGTTAAAACATATTCTAATCTTTCAATATTTGTTCTCTAAATTAAGGATTAACAAGAAAAATAAATGATATATGATCAAACTAAAATTTAGTATTAATTCTATTTTTCATATAAAATAAAAATATTCTATATTATTAAAAATTAAGCAATGCAAATTTTGAACTGGATTTCAATAGCATTTTTTACCTCTATTAAAGTCAAGTTCAAATAGATACATAGTCTGAACATCAATTAAAAAAAAATGTTGAAGATACTTTTATCGATTTTGTTTTGTAGTATATAACTGAAAATTAGAGTAATAGATATTCATTATTAAAAAAAAAAGAGAATACAGAGCTCTTTTAAAGAGAAGAAAGCTAAGAAAGCTCTAGCTCAAACCTTTGCTTAAATCAAAAATGTAGAAAAGCAAATGTTTGCTGTCATATTAGAAAAAATTAGAAAGGAAAAAGTTTAAGACTGCATTTGATATCTTTCAGAAAATGGGAATCAAAGGTAATTAGAATCATAAATCTTACAACAAGGAGAGAATTTAAGGCTACATGATAAGGAATAAAAATTGTATACTATATGATAGATTTAATGAATTTATTTAATAATTTTGTAAAATTAGTTTATAAATAGGATAAGATACAATTAATAACAAAGTTAAGAAAAAAGATACACCAAGAATTTCAAAAAAAATAAAGTTAATCCTAGAATTAACCTAAACTAAAAAAAATTACAACAATTAGATTAAATTGGATGATTCCTAAAATTACTCTTCTCTATTCTTGCTAATATTTTCACTACCTTTCATTATTATTTTCAATTGATATTAAAAAGTATTCGATATTATAAAAGACTGAAAAGATACAATTATCATCAAAAAGTATTATATCCAGTAAAAGGATTAATATTTAAGGAGATAATAATTCTATCTTCCATTGATAAACTCAAACTCTATGTGAATTTTTACATACATCCAAAGGGGCAAGTTTCATCAATTATTTAATAATGTTTAATTTATCAATAACTTTAATAATTAAGGTTTATAACTATTTTTTTATTCTTTATTAATAGAAATATAATTTTATAAGCATGATTTAATATTACAGTTGCTCCATAAATATTATTGTTTAATTTAGAAATTCAGTCTTGTAAATTAACATTATTGTTATATTCCCCAGATAATTATAATTACTCATTTCTCCTCCTGCATCTTCTCCTTCAGTCTACTAATTCTCATTTGCTTTCTTTCTTCTCTGATTTCACTTATCCAAGTTATAAAATCATGTATAAACAAGATTTTGTCGAGAGATATTCCAATTTTTAAATTGCTAATGAAATCATTAATTATGCTTACAAAGAGATAATTAACAAAAAGAATGAATCAATCATAGAATTCAAATTATACATAAATTGAAATATTCATAGAAAAATAAAGATATTCTATATTCTTCAAAAATCAAGCTATACAAATGTTGAAATGATTTCTCAATAGAATATTCTACATCTATTATCATAATTTTCAAATATAAACAATGTCTGAACTTCTATTTTCCAAAAATGCCAAAGATTTTGTAGACTTTAGCTTAAAGTTAGAGAAATAGAAAATTCATTATTAAAAATAAAAAAGAAAATGCAGGGCTCTTTTTAAGAGAAGTAAGCTTTAGATGACATCTTTTCTTAAGTAAAAGATGTAGAAAAACAAATGTTTGATGTCATATTAGAAACTTTTCGAAAAGAAAAAGTTTAAGACTGTATTGGATATCTTTCGAATAATGGAAATCAAAAACAGTTAGAATAATAATTCTTACAAAGATTTAATTTGATATCCGTTGAGATGGAATAGAAATTGCATAATTTTAGAAATAAAATGAAATAAATTATTGATGGCTTAAAAAAAATAAAAGATCATGACTTCAATAAAAAAGACTATTCTGATGAAAAAAATTATTAAACTATAAAGTAACTAATCACAATATTGAAGGAGAAGAGATAGATGATAGAATTTTTATTATTTTTAGTTCATCTCACATCCATAGATAACACTCTAATATAATGTGGGTCTAATTCAATATATTTATTAGTTTAGATGAATGTGGATCTTAGATACAAAAATTTTGAAAATATTAAGGTTTCAAATACTTCTTTAGTGCGAGCCAACTTTTTTAGTTGCGATTTAAGTGGATCTGAATTTGAAAATGTAAATATTAGCGGAATAAATTTAAATTGTGCAAAACTATTTCATTGTAAATGGTAAAATATAAGAGTTGATTAATTGCATCATTTGAAGGGCCATCTTTATAAGGTCAAATAAATATCCTTTTCACCGAATGGTACTATGTTAGCATCTTGTGATTGGGAAACATCTTTTCGTATATGGGATATTAAGAGAGGAAAAAAATTATCTATATTTTATAGTAGAGGGATAATTTCTATGTGCTTCTCACCAAATAGTTTGAACTTAGCAACTTATGGAATTTATCTTAATATATGGGATATAAAAAGAGGAAAAATCATATCTAAATTGAATTATTATAATGGTTAAGTAATACGCTATTCCCCAGACGGTACTACCTTAGCATTTGATTATTCTAATTTAATTATTCTATGGGATGTTGTAAAAAGATAACGAAAATTTGAATTGTATGGCCATGATCGCTATGTTTAATCAATATGCTTTTCTCCAGAAGGAACTACTTTAGCATCTGGTGGCGAAGATAGAATAATTTATTTATGGGATGTTTAAACAGGAAAGAAAAAATTTATATTACGATGTTATGATGGAGAAATTGCATCCTTATGCTTCTCTCCAGATGGCACTATATTGGCTTCAGGTTGTAATTAAATCTATATGTGGAATATTAAAACAAGAAAAAAAATTTTTAGATTAATGGGTCATGGTAATTATGTAAAGTCCTTATGCTTTTCTCCTGATGGTACTACATTAGCATCTGGTGGGGATGAAGATTTTATGCGTTTATGGGAGGTTAAAACTGGATAAATAAAAGCTTAATTAAATTGCAATACTTCAATTTAATCAATTTGCTATTCTCCTGATGGTAGTAAAATATCATTTAATGGTGTGAAAAGTTCAATCCTGTTATACGATGCTAAAGCAATTAAAACAAATACACAATTAAAATATCATCGCCGCGTTTTCATCGAGTTTTTTCCAGATGGCAAGACATTGATGTCTTATGATAAATCTCTCCATATTTGGGATGTATAAACAGGTAAAGAAAAATTTGAATTAAACAATCAAGCTAAAACTGCAAATGTAATATGCTTATCCCCAGATGGTACTATATTGGCAACAAATGAATACAGATCTATTCTTATTTGGGATGTTAAAACAGGTAAACTAAAATTTTTATTAGATGGTTAGGCTAAAGTTGCAAATTCCATTTGCTTTTCTCCTGATGGTACAATATTGGCATCAAGTGAGAAGAACTCCATTTTTTTATGGGACATTATCACAAGAAAACAAAAATTTAAACTAAATGGTCACACAAAAGATGTAAATTCAATAGAGTTTTCTTCTGATGGTACTACATTTGTATCAAGTGATGATGACTCTATTCGTTTATGGGATGTTAAAACAGGAGAACTAAAATTTGAATTAAATGGTCACACTTAATCAGTATGCTCAATCTGCTTTTCTCCTGATGCTTCTACATTAGCATCTGGTAGTAATAATAACTCTATACTTTTGTGGGATGTTAAAACAGGAAAACTAAAATTTGAATTAAATGGTCATACTTAATCAGTATGCTTGATCTGTTTTTCTCCTGATGCTTCTACATTAGCATCTAGTAGTTATGATGACACTTTACGTTTCTGGGATGTTAAAACAGGAAAACTAAAATTTGAATTAAATGGTTAATATGTATGCTCAATCAGCTTTTCTTCTGATGGTACTACATTTGCATCAAGTTATGGTAACTCAATACGTTTGTGGGATGCTAAAACAGGAAAACTAAAATTTGAATTAAATGGTCACACTTAATCAGTATGCTCAATCTGCTTTTCTCCTGATGGTTCCATATTAGCATCTGGTAGTTATGATAAGTCTATACGATTCTGGGATGTAAAAGCAGTAAATCCAAAATTTTCAATTAATAAAAATAGTGATAGAGTTTGGCAAGTGTGTTTTTCTCCTGATGGTTCTTCTTTAGCATCTGTCTGCGATGACAATTATATATATTAATGGGATGTTAATACAGGAAACCTAAAATCTTTATTAAAAGGCCATAATAACTTTTTTAATACTATATGTTTTTCTCCTGATGGGACAATGTTAGCTGTAGTTAGTGATTATTCTTTTATCTTTATAATGGAGGCAAAAACAGGAAAATGCTTATTTAAATTTGAAGGTCATGATGGAAATATCAATTCTATTTGCTTCTCTCCTGATAGCACATAATTAGCATCAGGTAGTTATGATAAATCTATCCTTTTATGGGACGTTAAAACTGGGCAACGAAAAACTTAATTAAATGGCCATTTTTATTGTATTAATTCAGTTTGCTTTTCTCCTGATGGTTCTTCATTAGCATCTGGTAGTTGGGATAATTCTATATGCATCTGGGATGTTAAAACCAGCCAACAAAATGCTTAATTAAATGGTCATAGTGATTGCGTGTTTTCGGTATGCTATTCACCAAATGGTACTTTACTAGCATCTGGTAGTTATGATAAGTTAGTCATTCTTTGGGATGTTAAAACAACCGTTTAAAAATCAAAATTTGAAGGTCACACTCAAGCTGTGAATTAAGTCTGCTTTTCTCCAGATTCTTCTAAATTGGCATCTTGTAGTAAGGATATGTCAATCTGCTTATGGGATGTTAAAACAAGACAACTAACATCATAGTTATTTGGTCATAGTTCCAGCGTTAGGTCAGTATCCTTTTCGCCCGATTGTAATATATTGGCATCTGGTAGCGATGATGGGTCTATTTGTTTATGGGATATTGCAAAAGGATAAAAAATTTAGGATTTAGATAAGTTTTGTGAAGTAATTCCTACCAAATTTCAGAATCCAATTAAAACATTTTCTTTATACAATAATGATAAGTTTGGTAATACTTTAAATTTTATATAGTTATTCCCCATACCAAACTACTTATATCTTAAGACCCAATATTATAAGCATAAGGAGCTTTTATTTTTAATGGAGAGTTCTCAACGCATTTAAATACAGATTTATAAGAATTATTTAAATAGAAAGGAAGTTAGATTTTAGAAAATAAATTTAAATTATTTTAAAATGCAACCTAAAATTGAATAATATATTATAAATATATAATATTAAAATGATTACTTTAATTTTAGGGTAATTTTTTTATCTGTTTAGACAAAGTAATTTAAATTTCTTAAAAATTTTAAATCACTTTTAATTCAAAAATTTAATGAGATTTACAGCAACTAGCGACTTTTTGTTTTCTCTGATAAATCAAGAATTTTTCAAATTAAAAAGATTTTGGAACATGGAAATATTTTAGGAAGATAGATTTTTACCTTTCATATATCAAATAGAAATATTATATACAAAGAATATTATCATATAAAAAGATTGAAGAGTCTAAAATTGAACTTGTTTAGGAAGGTATAATAGAAAATTATAAACGAATCAAATTAATTACTAAAAGCAAATTAACCCCTTGAGAAATAACCAATAAGCGAATTTTTTCGTTGTCATTATGCCAAATCACTTTAAATATCAATAAATAGTAGTCAAAATACTAATTTTTGAAATCAATTGAATTTATTTCAATATTTTTTGTTTCTGAGTCGATTAAATCATTATTTTTTTTTAGTTTAATATTAATAAAACTAGGATTTATAATACTAATAATAAGAGAATATAAAGTTTTACTTTCTTCTAATTTGATCCATGATTAAAAATTGTTTCAAAAATATCTCTCTGGCTTATTAGACTTTGAATTATGAATGATTTTGAAATAAAATGCATACTTACCTTTTCTCAAATTATATCTTGAATTAAATTTTTGATTAGAGGAAAGATTTATTGATATTAAATTATTTTTAATGAAATAATTTGGATCCTCGAAGCCGAGCTAGCTTAAACTAAAAGATAAGTTCAAGGATGCAACCTCAAAGTTGAGGCTTTGAAATGAAAGTTTTAAGTATTTGAGATTTCAGAAGAAAAATTTGAATTGAAGAGAAGAAATAATTTTATCAATGATTCTATTAATTTAATTAAAAAAATATTTTAAATTTGATAATAAAAATTAATAATTAAGATTTAATTAACCAGCTTTAAATGCAATTTAGATTGATTAATAAAATTAGTATTATAAATTAATAAATCCTATTGTTATAAATTAAATCTAAAAGATTTTTTTAATTTCTACCTTCTTTTAATTACAAAATTTCACAAAGTGCATAAAATTTTTTTCTTGAAAAAAGAACCCTACTTTTTCATTTGCGCTCTAATGATATCTCACATTATAAGAAATAAAAAAGTAGAAAAATTCCATTTAAACTAATAGTAAAAATGAAGGTATAATTAAAAATGAGAATAGGAGATTCGAAACAAAAAGAATGCATAAAGAAAAATATTAGAAATCTTTTAAATAAATAAGGTTTAAATAAAATCAAAATTAGTTAAAAAAAGGATATCAAATTACGGTATTCTATTACATTTCATTTTTATAATAACTCATATGATGAATATTTCTTCTATTCTAAATCCAAAAATACTAAATACTATGCATTATTTATCATTGTCCCATAAATATTATTAATTTCACAATTTAATGATCCTATAATCTTAAAGTTATCTTCATTTACTTTACTAATAATATAAAAATGATATTTATGTCTAACTAATAGCATATTTTTATCTTTATTATATATGATAGGGAAGTCTCTCCAATCATCTTCACATAATTGATTTGTATTCATTGAATAGTTTTGTCTTAAATCAATTTGAATACTCCATCCTACAATTAAAAAATTAAAATTTAATCAATATTCTTATCTTTTGTCACCAAAAGAAATTATTAATCCTCCATAAAGTATATTTTGAATCCTTAAGTAACATCTTATTTATACTATTATTGAATAGAAAAAATGAGTATTATCTAAAGAATAAAGATAAGTTAATTCATTCTTTATAAAATCTACATTCCAAATTTTAATTGAATCATCTCTACCCCGTGAAATGAGTTGATCCTCTTATATATTTAATATTAAACATGAAACCCAATAAGTATGTTAATGGTATGGTTATGACCATTTCCATTAATTGTTATTAATTTATTTCCAACAAATGATTAACTTATCCCAAGATCCAGAAATAAAGCAAATTCATTTTTTTGCTAAAAACTAAAAAATTAAACATACACTAAATTGATTTGATAATTGTAACGTTCCTTATGTAAAATTCCAAATTATAATATCCATAGAATGATTAGATATCATGATTGATCCAGTGTTATTAAACACTATTGAATAACAAAAGTCAATCTATTTATTTGAATCATCAATTAACTTAAATTCAAGATTATATTATATTAATTAAACATTATTAATTTGTTATTATTCTTGAATAAGTCTTAGTATTAATGAATAGTTTATAGATTAATTAATAATTATTCACATTTTTTTGTAAATTCAAATGACTTAAATTAATTCAATTTATTAATTATCTTTTGATACCATGAATGATTAATTGAGTTAATTTAAGTAATTAAAGGACTATATATAAAATTATTGAATTGAAACTTTATTAATTAGATTATCCAATTCTTCAAAGAAACTATAATTGACATACTATTATCCAATTTATTATAAAAATTTGATCCATTCATCTGTATTTCTAATCAATTAATTTAATTATTAGGTGATATGTTATTTCAATTAATGTAATGTTTTCTAAAGTTCATCAATCTATTTTATATTCTTGATAATATTATATTCAACTTATTTTACCTTTATCTTTTGATTTTCTTCAATTGATAAAGCAACCTTTCTAAAACTCATTACATTATTTAGATTAGATTCTAAATTATCCATACATTAATTGCATAATAATCTTTTATTCTTCTCTACTTTTTTTTTACAAACAATCATATAAATTGGAAGTTTATGATTTATTGAACAGACAAATTCTTCTTCTTTTTCTATCATTTATTACCATATCATTTCTAAATAAATATTTATATTAACTATTAATTAAATTATTTATATCACCTCTTCAATAAATTCATTTGAATTTATATTCAAGCAAGATTATAATTTTAAGTTCCAACCTAATAACTGAGGATTAAAACTATTTAAATACAAATCATGTTTCTTTTTAGTAATTCTTAATTCTAGATAATTTAATTGAATTGACTTGATCTTTCTAACTCGATTATTATTTTTGAAAAATGACTTTTTTTTTTCCTTCCAAATATCTTAAATAGCTTATAAGATTATTGAATTATTTGCTTATGTTGAGTCAAATCCTCCATTTAAAAATATGCCTATTATTATATTTTGATAAAGCATTTGATCTCAAGGAAAAGAGGAGACTCAGATTTAATAAAAATATTACTTGTAATGAAATTTATATTGTGCAATAATTCTTCTTTTTGATAGAAATACAAATTTTCAAGCTAAAATTTACAAAATGAAAATACTTTAACTTAATTGCTGAATGATATGAGACAAATGGCATATTTATTTATAAGATAGCTAATGATTAAATAAAATAGAGTTTCTACAATGTGCGAACTCGAATTTTTTTTTGTAATAATCCTTAATCCTTATCAATATTTTAATTAAGTCAAAAATGATCATATAAATATAGCCTAAAGTAAATTATGAGACGAAAGGGTTTTATTGCTAAATACATAGGAATCAAGATTTAGATCTTATTTTAGCAGTATTTTCCATATATCTCATAAAAAAAATTCAGATTATGAAAATAAGAGTAAAATTTAAAGCATCTTAAATTAGTATTAGAGAAGTTTTAGTTTTGTGGTCAAATGTTCTGATAATAAACTGATTGGCAGAATAGAAATTAAATCAGCAGTTCAAATATAATCTGATTCACTATATAAACTAAGTCTTAATTTGTGATGAGGAATAAACGAAATTTAGTGAGTTGATTAGAATAGATATAAAAATATAAGCTAATGAACTTTGTGATGAAATATTTACATATGAAGATGGAAGTTTGAGTTTATTTTGTATTGGTAAATTTGCTTTAAAATTATATCCCTTTTATTTACAAAGGAATGTGACTTTAAGTATGGAGCATGATTTTACAGATAAAAATAAGATGGGTGTAAAAAAAATTATTGAAATGGAAGGAAAATTTATTTTTCATTGTATTTTAAAAATGTTCTAAATTTTAGATATGGTTGATTAAAAATAATCAAGTTAAAACTATATTTGATGATTAAATGAAGTATTAGCATATTTAGTTATCAAGCCTCTTTTTTATTAATGATGTACAATTTTTTGAACCTAATAATTTAACTTCTGATCTATTTTTGATGTAAATGATTTTTATAAGTAAATATAACTTATAAGTACTGTATTTGTAAATTTATTTGGTTTAATTTGAGAACAGCATTCCAATTATTGTAACAAGCAAATCAAATTCAAAAAGTAGTATAGATTATAGAATAAAGATATTATAATTTAACCCAGATGTAACATTATCATTTTAGTCAATTAATTAGCAATTCATCAACTAATCCTTAGCAAACACTAGAGATAATATTAAATTAACAACATTCAAATAATAATATTCACTTTTCCTATAAAACTTATTTGAATTGAAAGTATAAATAAATGCTCACAGTTATTACACATATGAAATTTGTAATACTTCATTACATTTTTTTGACCTAAGTAATTTATTCTGTAATTTGACTAAACCAAAAAGGTTATATGATTTTATAAAGATTATCCATTAAGGGCTTATATAAAACCTAAATTAAAGTATTTATATACAATTTGAAAATCAATTTATTTAGAAGAAATGCTACAATTAAATGTTTTAGAATAGCAAATGAAAATGATACTTAAAAGAAATATCAAAATTTATTGAAATGATAACATTCCATTATAATTGTTAAAATAAGTCTTAAATGTTATTGAATTCAAAGAATTCTAATTATTAAAAAAATGATAAATCCAATTTCTATAGTAGTGAGGGTATTATAAAAATAAGTATAAATTGAAAAGATAATTCTTTTTATATCTGGAAATACTATGACTTTTTAAATAATTGCTTATCAAGGCTATAATAATTTTATGCATAAGGCAAGCTTGAGGTAAGTGATATAATATATGATGACATATGTGTTGAAAATGAAACATTTTTCTATATTTATGATTACAAAGAAAATAAATTAAAAGTTAAATGATTTCACCATTACAAGCATTAAGCAAATTACTTAAAGTATATTTCTTTAAAATAACAATTCTTCTTTGCCTCTTATAATCATTATGAATTCTTAACAAAATTTATGGAAAATTTGTAGGTTTAATAATTTTCTAAAAAATGGTTTAATAATCATTTTCTTATTTCTATAATATCTCTCAAAAAATCTTTATTGACATGGATTTATTCTATTTTATTTTGAATTTGGAAACTAAAAATTTCTTTAATATGTTAAGATCTTAGCTTTTTAAAATTAAGAAATATTCAGATATTATGAATTTACAGAATCAGTAATTATTTTAATGCAAGCTTATATATATGAATACAACTATTACTCTATTATTGCAATAAAGTATAATTGCAAATTTAAAATTACAATAATAAACTAAGACTTTGATTCTTACATTTTTTAACGATTAAGAACTATACATTAAATTGGAAATTACACCTTTAAGACTGTTATCTTTCTTATCCTTTTAAGTACTGATTAAATGCTTATTTATCTATTAGCTAAATATAGCTATTTTTTACTTTCAATTTTATAATTATATTGACATTATCTCAACTGATGGTTCCTTTTTTAAACTTTTTCCTTTAATAAAGTATGGAGATAATAATTTGAATCAAATCCAGGTTCAAATAGAGACTGAATTGCCTTAGTAAAATGCTTTATCATCAGACTTTTCAATAAGCTCAAACAAGGAGAACGGTGTTGAATTAAGGATTTAAATTAAAAATCAATGCTTTTAGTTGTATCCTCTAATGAATTCCTCTATGATTCCAATCCAAAAGAATGTAAATCTAAAATTATACATATCTGATATTTTTTATGGTCTGATTAATAATTTGACACTTTTAAAGAATTCAAACATTATTTTGAATGGACCTTTTCAATTTCAGAAAGAACTTTAATTTAAAAATGACGTTTTAATGATACTCTAGTAAAATATTAGTTTTTATTTATACTCATTTCATTTTTTACAATAATTCTTTGAAATATTTAAATTGGATATGAATTAGTTATATATGAATTGGGATGAAATTCAATAAAATTTTGAACTACTTGCATAAAACGAGATATTGTTATAAAATTCGATCTTTCTCTATCAAATCAATACATATAATGTAGTTTAAAAGAGTTTTGTTTTATTTTCAAACTTATATATCCTTATTATATGATTATTGAAATTAAATTTTATTTATACACAAAAAATAATTATTATTTGTGATTTCAATTTAATTTGAAAAGTTTTTAGTCTTTTGCCATCATATTTGCTGAAAGAACTAAAAAAATAAATAAATATGCACTTTTAACTTATACTATTCTATTCAATTTATAATCTTATAATAAAAGAACAATAATAAAATTTTGAAAATTTTAAAAAATCTTTCCCTATATATATTAATAAAATCATTTCCAAGCCATAATTCCAAATATTCCTAATTTAATTATGGTTAAAACCATGCTATTATCATTAGTATTAGGATCAGAAGTGTAATACCAGTATTATTATTTGGTTTTTTAGAGCTAGCTAAGCATTTTTTCCTCTTATTAGTTGCTTAATTTCATGCATATTTTTGGATCAGTTATAGTTCAAAGATCATCAGATGCACACACTCTTATTAATTTTTATAGTACAAACAGTGAAACCTTGACCATCAAAGCTTGGAACTGGTTGGCAATCAGTATTTTTTGCAAATGTATCACAAATATGGTAATACAAGATGTGGTAGTTCCAGATTAAGTTTTTTGCAACTCTTGTTAGTTTCATTTGCTGTAGGGCCAGTATTTGCATCAGTTCATTATGTAAAGGTCTTGCAAGTTCGGTTAACTTTATCAGTAGGTGAGAATGAGCAAAAAAATTGATTTTTACCAACTAATCTTCCTCCAGTATATGCTTCTAAAATTTAGGATGTTGAACAAACTGCTTTTGGAAAAACAGTTCTTTGTATTAGAAACACATTCTTTACCATGTATAACACTACTACAAGCAGAATTATTGTCTTCACATTACTTTAATCTANCATTTCATTTTTTACAATAATTCTTTGAAATATTTAAATTGGATATGAATTAGTTATATATGAATTGGGATGAAATTCAATAAAATTTTGAACTACTTGCATAAAACGAGATATTGTTATAAAATTCGATCTTTCTCTATCAAATCAATACATATAATGTAGTTTAAAAGAGTTTTGTTTTATTTTCAAACTTATATATCCTTATTATATGATTATTGAAATTAAATTTTATTTATACACAAAAAATAATTATTATTTGTGATTTCAATTTAATTTGAAAAGTTTTTAGTCTTTTGCCATCATATTTGCTGAAAGAACTAAAAAAATAAATAAATATGCACTTTTAACTTATACTATTCTATTCAATTTATAATCTTATAATAAAAGAACAATAATAAAATTTTGAAAATTTTAAAAAATCTTTCCCTATATATATTAATAAAATCATTTCCAAGCCATAATTCCAAATATTCCTAATTTAATTATGGTTAAAACCATGCTATTATCATTAGTATTAGGATCAGAAGTGTAATACCAGTATTATTATTTGGTTTTTTAGAGCTAGCTAAGCATTTTTTCCTCTTATTAGTTGCTTAATTTCATGCATATTTTTGGATCAGTTATAGTTCAAAGATCATCAGATGCACACACTCTTATTAATTTTTATAGTACAAACAGTGAAACCTTGACCATCAAAGCTTGGAACTGGTTGGCAATCAGTATTTTTTGCAAATGTATCACAAATATGGTAATACAAGATGTGGTAGTTCCAGATTAAGTTTTTTGCAACTCTTGTTAGTTTCATTTGCTGTAGGGCCAGTATTTGCATCAGTTCATTATGTAAAGGTCTTGCAAGTTCGGTTAACTTTATCAGTAGGTGAGAATGAGCAAAAAAATTGATTTTTACCAACTAATCTTCCTCCAGTATATGCTTCTAAAATTTAGGATGTTGAACAAACTGCTTTTGGAAAAACAGTTCTTTGTATTAGAAACACATTCTTTACCATGTATAACACTACTACAAGCAGAATTATTGTCTTCACATTACTTTAATCTACATAATTTGGTTCCTATAGTCTAACCAACATGATAAGAGTAGATACAAGTACCATCCGTTCTTAAGTAGCATCCAGCTCTGTATAACTTGAGCAAATTTCCAAAGAGAAACATTTAGCTCCATCAGTGTACAACAACTGATAACTTGATGTTTACAATGTTTATGTTTAGTTCCAATAAAATATCAACATTCCTTCAATTTGCATGATGAGCCGTTTCAGAAATAAATTCCATCGCTACTTAGATTATTCCTGTATGAAATTTCTGCTTTGTAAACAAGCTATTCCATCAGTCAAAAAACCATCATCTTCGAAACATGTAGTTTAATCAGTTGAAAACGCATCTGAATATTTATCGAATACTTAGCATTTATCGGTTTGTAAATATCCACAAGTACTTAAACATGATGCCTTTTAGACAATTTTAGCACAAGTTGTAATTGCTATACAGATTTACCAATTAAGAAACCAAATTAGTTTTTACTAAAGCATCCCAAAAAATCTATCAGAATTATCGCATATTTAATTAACCTGAATCAAAAGACAAGGTTCTCTCTTTGACAGAATTAGTGTAAACGTTGTCTGTTGGTAAATCACTGCATGCTCTAGCTTCACATTTAGTACCATCCAAGTTTGCAATTATTTTCACTTATCACCTGATAAATCTCCTGGTAGAGTATATAATGCACAAGCAGTTTTTTCTTTACATTTAGTTTAATAGTATAACCAACCTTCAACATTGCTTGAGTATCCACTTTAATTATTTTTATGGTCTTAAGGCTCTGCAGTTTTTAGTGATATCTTTAAAACATGGGAATTTTTTAGCATTGATAACACCTTTCTCATTCTTTCATTAAGTATCTTCCTTGCCATTTTCTGGTCCAAATAAGTTGTCAAGTATGTTTTTACTTATATTATCATAACTGATAGAAGCACCTAGTGTAGAATATTTATTTTCCAAAATATGAGTTGTGTCTTTTAATGCATCACATGGAGTGACCTTATTTGTGGTATTTGTAAAATCATAATTTTCAAAGCTGCTAATCTTGGAGTACAAAAGTTAAGTTCATTAACATTATTATATTTTAATAATTCACAATATGCTTCCTTACTAAAATATATTTGCATGTCTTTTCAAGAGCTTCTAATTCACCCAAAATTTGTGATATTGAATTAGAGATACCTTAGCAATCATAATCTCGACTGGCTAGGGTATCTTTTATTTAGGTAGACTTTTAATTACTAGGATTTACTTTTCTATTACATTAGGGAGATTTTTAACTTGCATCAATTGAGAGTACGGGTTTTTTGCCCTTCATATTTGCAAAGATTTACATTTTTCTTATTTTGCATATTGCTGCTGTTGCTGTGCCATAATAATATTTGTCACGTTAATCTTTAATTGTCACTCCTTGAAAAATGATGAAACACAAAAATTGTCACTTCAATTACTGTTTATGGATTTACACAAGTATCTTTTCCATTAAATACACATCCACTTAAGAAAGCATCAGTGGATGCTGTTGCAATTATGAATGTCATTTATTTACAAAATGAATCTTCCTTTTCATTTGAATATTAAAAGCATTTAACTGTTTTGTAATTAGTTATCATACAATTGATTATTGTGTCTCGATCTCCTTTAATTACAACATGTGGTAATATTTACAATACCTTTTACCGTACTGATTCATCTTTTGAAGTTCCTGCATCTCCTTCACAAATTCCATATGTCCTACATATTTTGTATTATCTCCATCATCAAATTAGCATATTTTTTCTTAAAAGCAACCCTCATTATTATCATCAGGTGGACACTTATTTTTATTTCCATATTATTAATTTAGTAATTATATATGTTTATGTTGATATATATCAACATAGCTGATTCATTCAAACTAGAAAAGATTATAAAAATGATTATTGATTAGAAAAAAATGGACATGAATTATTTGACCTGAGGGATAATGCAATTATGAAATTACAAAACTGATTAAAATTATCAAATAAGGAAAGGTTAATTTGTTGTGCTGCTTTATAAAATATGATTATTAAGAAAATAAACAAATATAAAGAATCACCATACTAAAAGAAGCAATCAAATTCACATTATTATTTTTTGTATTAATTCATTTTGTTTTTATAAAATTAGCAATAATCTCTAGATTACACAAATTTGAATTCGCAGCATCATTTATCTAAAATTATAAAATTCGTGATAGTTATTTTAACTTTCAATAATCAAATTGTTTAAAGTCTGAGAGATATCTAAATATTATTCATTGTTTAATCTTATAAAATTTCTTAATTTCAACTATAATCTAACAGGTTTTTCATTTTATTTTCATATTTTTAATTCCTTGTTTTTTTATAATTCCCAAAAATATAAATATTTTCTACTAATTCAAATCTTTTATATTAATCTCTAGATATTAATATTTTGTTAAAGTTGCTAGTTGACTTTTAATTTCTTGAACAATCATATTACTATTACTTAAGATATGAATAAGAATTATGTAATCAAAATGAAAAATATATAAATATTATGATTTAGTGATAAACTTTTATATTATTTTGTTAATTTAAATAGTATTAAATAAAATTTATTATAAGGTTATATATAATTTATGATTATCAATTTCTAGTCATGATTTTATTAAATATCCTTATTAATTTAGATATCAAATATTCAATAGGTTTCATCTTATTTTCTTCATTTAAATGTCTTTCTTGCTTTTCAATAAATTTTTAGAGCTTATTTATAACTTTTTAAGAAGTCCTTTTATTTATTTATTTTTTAGTATTTTCCAGATTTTCAAATGACATATTCATTCGAATTTCTTTAGTTATATATTTTATCTGTTTCCATTTTAGTAAATATTGGTATTTTAAATCATTTTATGGGTCTTATATTTCTTCAATAATATATTATATAATTTAATTTTAATCTAAATTCCAATCATATAAATTTGTATATTGTAATAATATATCTAGTAATATGGAAATGAACTATTCGTCTAATTCTTTGAGAACTATATTCAGTTTATTTATTAAGATTTTAAATTTAGGATCAAATACCTATGAATTTATGCTTATATAACTAGTCTTATCTACTAAGATTTAATTTTCAAATGAATAATTCTTATTTCTCTATGATAAAAAAAAGAAACTGGGGCAATTATCTTTTTTTTAAAATAATTGTTATAATTTTTTCATCTCTAATCTATCCTAATTCTCTATTTATTAATTTTGTGTTAAAATTCTTATCTTATAACGACCTTGAGTAGCAAATAATTTAAAGAGTTTAACACAATCAGAATCTTATTGTATGTAAGTATTATTTTGATCTGGGGCTTTATATATTTTATTCTCTAATTAGTCTTATGAGATTTTAGGTCTTCCTAGCTAAATTTTCATTTTATGATTAAAGTGATCATTATTTTCCTTTTTTCCTCTTAACAATAAATAAAAAATTCTTTCATAAATAAATAGAACAATTTTTAGTGTTCTGTTTTTCTATCAATATTTTTAATAAATAAATAAAAACAAAAACTCCGAGAAGGCGGATTTGAACCACCGACCTGGGGATAACTGATTTAACACTACAGTCCCTCGCTCTATCAACTGAGCTATTTTCGGATGTTAATATAAATCAAACTTTATGATTCTTATAATAAACTGTAGATTTCTATAAAAATCAAGTTCAACAATTAATTTATTGAAAAAATCTATGTTTTAATTCATAAAAATATTTTAAAGTATTTCGATATTTATTATTTCAAATTTATAATCATTAATTCTAAAATTTTATAAAATTTATAATTAATAAGACAAATATAGTTATTATTATATTAAATATATTTATTCTAGATTATATATAATGAGAAAAAATAAAAATCTAAGCTAATTTGGATTAATCAATTAATTTCCTCTATTACTTGTATTAAAATTCAAATGATGTATATCAAATTAATATTTAATCAAATAAATTGAGTTAAAACCAAATTTATTTTTTTGATTTTTATCTGCATTTATACATTACATGAACTTATCAGTAGTGGAATTAAAACAAAAATCATAACTACAAACACAGACTATTGATTTTATTCTCATAATAAGCAGTAAATAATTTGTAATGCATTTAAATGATTAACAGACATAATTTGAGTAGAATGAACAAGAAAGTAGATATATAGGAATCATTTTGTGAAAATGCTCACAACATGAACTTGATTGTACATATGAAAATATAGTAAAAAATTTATAATGTTTTAGACCAGAATTATTTTGGAAAGAAAAGGAAATAACAAAAAATTTTGAAATTGAATTAAATAGATTATCGACATTCTTTTATTTAGGAAAAAATGATCTCTCTCAAATTTTTTTATTAATTTTAATTAGTCTAACAATAGAATCATTGATAGACAATTTTAAATAATATTAATAACTGAAATAATATTAATCAATCATATCAATAAAATATTGGGTACAATTATTATTATGGTTTCTTAACACCAATCCCAATAAATTTAATTTGTTTTCTAATTTAACAGTTGCTGCCCAAATCAAAGAAAAAGTAAATATGTGCATTCGTCCAATATTGATTATACTCTCTGATTTTAAAGTCCATTCAACTTAGTAAAGATAAAGTAAATATGAAGTTGAATTATAAAATATGAAGTTGAATTATAAATTATTAATGATTCAATGATTAAAATTTTTCATGTATTCAAATTAATTACTTAATGGCTTGTGAATTAAAAATAATGATTAAAAAAATGATACTCCTCTGTAAAATAGAAATGACAAATAATAATTTATCTATAAAAATATTATTCTTTTCAATAGTAAAATATGCCATTTAAATGGCACATGCAAAACTAATATCATAAGCGTTAGAGAGGAACAATCTTAAAATTGCATTATAATAAAAATCAGATATTTTAAAGTTTAATTGTTTTTAAGTATTTATAAATAATTTGCCAATTGAAAATGAGAGTTTAAATATATATATTTAAATAAATTTTATTATGAAACATATAAGAATACTGAAATATGCTATAATTATGCAGAACGAGAAGCTTTGAGATTATCAAAGAAATATGCATTTATATTATCCTTTTTAAAGTTATTACTTGCTTCAATCACATACTTGCGATTACCATTCAAAGAATCAAAAAATGTTTAGAATCTAAAAGCCTCCATTAAAGGTGAGATTGTTAAAGTTATTTAAAATAATTATATATGATTTTCTTCTATTTAAGAGTAACAAAAAATCAATTTTCTAACATAAATTTAGTTCTTGAAATCTAATTTCAAGCATTAAAATAGATACATCAACTTGATAAAAAAGTATTATTTATAGAGCTGTATCAATTCAAAAACCTCAAATAAAATATCGAAAATGAATGAAAAATCCAATATTTATGTATTAATTGTTTCATAGAATTCAGATAATAAAATCAAAAATAAAAGCTCACAATTATTTTACATATGATAGATATTATAATTAGTCCATGATATTCCAAAATATTTCAGATTAGTTTGCCAATAAACAATAAACAAATTAAAGTTCCAAGAGATATTATAATTGCATCATTAAAGTTTGAACACTATTAGGCTATAAGCACTTAATCAGGAGATAGAACTATTTGAGTTTACAGTTAAATACTACCCTGGCTTTTTATAAGAGGATAATTTAGTTCTGAGAGGATTAGATCATTATAAAATTCAATTTAAAATACAGGTTTTTCTATAGGGGTTAAATAAAGAACCTTAAATTAAAGAGCCAAATCTATGACTTGATCATGAGAGACTTCATTTTGATGAGTCATTTAAATATTATACTTATCATTACCTAGATTTTAAATGCTAGGTTTGAATATGTTTACTTATATTTTGTTTATTTTGTAGAGAGAATTCAACTTATTATGCAAATAAAACTTAAATATCATAAAATTCATGAGAATAAGGTAGCAAAATTGAGAATAAATTTTAATTAGTATTACTTATCCAATCCTTTTCAATTTTGCATTATCAATTGCATCCATTAATATATACTCTATTTCCATCATCACATTATTCAATTTAAAGAAGAAGAAATCCATCTCCACAGATAGGTTAAAAAATTAGGTCGAGTAAATGCATTCCTTCAGGATATTCTTTAAAAATTCCTTTCCAACAATCAATATAATATTAATCGTACTGAAATTTACATTCAAAGCAACTATCATTTTAATTAAAATTCATATCATCACATTTCTTGTTACCTAATACGAATAAATTTCCATATATGGGTTATTGTAAAATATATTTGAATTCATTAAAATTAAATTATAGGAAATATATTAGCATTTACCATTTAGATTTTAATAGCCATTCTCACATTTTACACATACTCCAAATTTGCAATCCATATATGATTTCTAACATAAATATTGTGAAAGATAACAACCATTATACATAACTGAATTATTATCATCACATTATTCATAACCAACAACTTTAGAATATCCAATTAATGATTAATATTTCTTATCTATATTTATCACCCATCCTTCAAATTTTAATTGTTAATCCCTTTTAATAAATTTTAGATTAATTAAATGAACTTTAATCAACTAGAAAATCGATATCCAAAATAAGTTTGAAAATTGACATTCTTTAATGCAATTAATATGAAATAGTATATCACTTTTTAATCATCTTGTTAAATGTTTAAATATGACTAATATTAGTTTTTTACATCTCTCCTTTAATAGTAGATAACTTTAGGGAATACGATTAATGTTCTTTTTATAGTAAGAATACAGATATATGATTACTTTAATATAGTATTTGAATGATTAATCAATTATAATTATTTTCCTAATTGAAAATCAATAGAATTCATTAATTAAATTGATTTGTTATAATTATCTAATTAATATAATTAATAGAATATTGAAATATCATAAAAGAAAATGAAAATTATCCGAGTTCTTAATATATATCTAAATTAATAATAGAAAATATAGTTATTTTATATTAATGGATTTACTCAAGTCTAGAATCTATATTTTTATTGATCATAACAATAATTTATTTATTCTATTGAATAAGAATGTTATAATTCCCTGAATACTTAATTAAAAGTTAGTAAAATTTGTTACAAAAGATAGGCAAGATTAAAATCAATTGATAGGGGGAATTATAAAATGTCTTAAATTTAAATAGAGGAGCAGTAATCTCATCTAAATGATAAAATGATTCTATGAGGATAATTAAGGTAGAAGGTTAAGGGATAGTATTTACACTATAACAGGAAGGTTTTCCTTTTTACACATACAATCTCATAATATTTGTTAAAAAATGTTTCATAAGGATCTCCATCTATGATTTATTACTAATAAGATATTATCAAATTAGAGAAAGGAGTTTCTAAAATCAAATCTCTCCCTTTCCGAATCAATCCCTATTGCTGAGAAGAACTTAAAAAATCCTAATAGCATTCTAAAAGACAGTCTTCTTAATTTCTTTCATTTAACTTAAGCTTCTTTGGTTAGAGTGTAGAAAATAAGAGATACAATTAAAAACGAGGTCTTATAATATGTATTTCATAATTATGTCATATGTCTTATGGGGAGCAGTGTATTTTAAGGTCTTAACTGACTTGAAGGTTAATCCTAAAAATTATTAGTAAATTTAATGGAAGACTAAAAAGGAATTATATATTAAAAGGAACTACTTAAAATTAGATATTTAAGTTTTCATCAAAAGATAAATAATTTTTAGTTCGTTTTTTTGATTTAATAAGGTATGTTCATTATTTGTAAATCAATATTTGAACAATATTATTGCTCCACACACTATATATATAATTAGAATTTTAATAACTAGGATTTATTAATAATATCAAATATTATAAGTATTTACCTGTATGTAATCTTTATTTGTTATATTTTCTTCATTGTAAATTAATAAATTAAAAAATAGGAATTTGAGTTGCATTTAATATTATTATAATGAAGAAAATTATTTTCTTAATATTTAAAATATCTATGATAAAGATAGGTAGTAAAATGTTTTACCTTGATCTAAATGTAATATAAATTATGAATATATATCAAGTTTTGTTAGAAAATCTCACCTTATTCTATCATAGTCTTCCATTTGATATATTTTAATTTATTGAAATTTTGTACAAATAATTTATTTAAAAATTATCATACAGATGTTTTCTCTGCTTTTATTTCTTTCCATTACTAATCTATAGATCAAATGCTAAATATAACTTTATGAGAATTTTAATGATCTAATCCTAACAAATGTTAATGATTGGAAATGCTTAAATTCAGAGAACCCAGAAGTTTACTCATGTTAAAGTGGAATGTATTTAATAAAGGTTGATCGAAATTGTTAGGAAATTACTTATGAAATACAGGCTATATAGCCTCATTATTAAGTATAATTATATATAGATATATATTGCTATGGTGGGTTAGAAGATAATGACAATCTAGCTATTATAATAGATTAAACAAAAATTTGGTAAACAGATCCTTAATTTCTTCCATTTATTTATTAACCATTAGGAAAATCTCATCAATGCGCAGGATATAATCAAAATTATTAAATACGCAAGACAGTTTATTAAGAGATTCCCCATACATCATAAACTCTCAAAATATAATTACACAGCACAATATCTGCAGACTTCAATGACGAATCTTATCTATTTAGAAATTTATAAATACTATATAATCAGTGTTATAAGACTTGTAAAACTTGTAGTGATGTATAAAAAGATAGTTGCAATTCATGTTATGATGATATCCCTTTATTTTCTGGAACTTGCATGTCTTGCTAAGACAAGATTAATTTGAATTTTCTATAAATTTCATATGGATGTGTTTGCTAATGTCCAGATGAATATGATTATGACTTAGATAAAGTATGTTATAAGAATTAAAGTATAATTATTGTTATTTTAATAGAATTGAAAACTTATGATAATTCAAATAAAGTGATGAGTTAAGAAGGATATTAGGTTTCTGGTTATTTAGATACATCTACCATATTATTAAGAATAACAATTACAATAGAATTAATGGATAAAAATTATGTGAATGTTTTAATAAACGGAGAGAATATTGCTTAGATAAATAAATACAGAATAAGATCAGAACCAGGATCAAAATCAAATTATTTAAAAAGATTAAATAATGAAATTATGGTAGAAATTAATAAACCAATAAGTAAAGATACTTTTAATATTGAAATTGTAAAATATCATCATTTATCTTCTATTCCAACTATTAAGATATAATATTTAGTTTGTGCATTGAATTGTTAATAATGTAAAAATAAAAATACTTGTAAACTTTGTAAAGAGAATTATAAATTATATAATGGATTATGCTTTAGTAATTGTCCAGATTACACTAAAGAATCAGACCAACTTTGTATTATTCCAGATGAAATAGTGATTAAGAATGATGATTAATAGGAAGTATTTTTAGTGAAAGAATTTTATGATCTTTCAACTAATATAAAAAGAATAAATGAATTATTTACATTAGTCAGTGTAGATAGCAGTAGAAATAATCAATATAATTTTTAAAAAGGAAATGATATTTACTTCTCATATTTTCAGAATAAAAGAATATTTGGAGGACCATATGTATGGGTGAATGCTTAGTTTAAATTTCATCTATTGCTAGAGAACATCATATAAACTGTTTATGTTTATTTTGAAATAATTTTAGGTGATGAAGAAATGTCTAGAATTAAATTTCATTATAAGATTAATTCAGAATCACAGAAAACTTTTAGTATCTCAAATAATTAATATTTGAAGTAGGATTAAAATTGGAAGGATGATTATAAAACTGAAATAAAATTGGTAAGAGAACGAATTGATTATTAAAATAATTAAAATAAAGAATTAGACATACTATTTGATTGTGATAACAATTTTCATGAAGCTAATTCAACATTTTGTGGAATATAAAATCTATTTATTATAGTTCAAAAACCTATATAAGATGATATTAATTTATTTGATTAAGAAGATTAGAATGACAACATAAATATAATAGATTTAGATTGGTTATTTAATAAATCAATATGTGGGGATGGAATAACAACCATAGATGAGGATTGCGATGATGGAAATCTGATACCATTTGATGGGTGTTTTAATTGCAAATATTCGTGTGAATAATTATGTTAATTTTGTGTTAAAGGGGAATGTTTGGAAATGTTAGAATTACAATCAAGTTAGAAATTACCAAGTTATTATAATATATCTGATAAATCTCTTGAATTATTGACAGAATAGTTAATAAATTGCGAAATTATTGTATAAGGATTATGTTTATAATGTAAAAATGGATATTATGTGAATTCAATTAATAATTTGTGTGAAACAATATGTGGAGATTAAATAATTTAAGGACAAGAGTAATGTGATGATGGTAATCTTGATAATTATGATGGTTGTTAAGATTGTTAATTAATTTAGTATGAGAATTGTGATATATAATAAACATGTGCATTCTGTTATTATGGTAAATGTCTAAAATGTTACGATGGATTTTCCTTAGAAAATTATAGATGTATATCAATTTGTGGAGATGGATTAATTAATAAATAAGAAGAAGAATGTGATAATCCGATTGAATAAGGATGTAATAATTGTCAAATCTAAAAAGGATATGTTTGTCATGGTTAAACTTATTCTATTTGTAAGACTTGTGGAATTTAATGTAAAGATTGTATAAGTAAAAATTAATTCGATCTTAAATGTCTTGATTGTGTACCAGGATTTTATCCAGTCTTAGATTAATGTTTAAAATGTGATAATAATTGTATAACTTGTAAAGACTAATCAAATTTATGTACATCTTGCTATAGAAATGATTGTGAATTATGTGAATCCATTCCGGGTTATTATACTGATTTCTAAAATAAAATTTGTATTAACTTATGTGGAGATGGAATTATTGTTAAGGAACAAGAAAATTGTGATGATGGAAATTTAGAAAATGGAGATGGTTGTGACTCTGAATGCAGACTTGAATTACCAGAAAATGTAATTAATTAATTATAAATTTGGCACTTTAATCAAAATAGTACTTATGATCTTTATCTTAATAAATCAGAATATAAATTAATATTAAATTGTTTAGATCCTAAAATTATAATAGATGGTATGCAAAAAAATGATTTTACATATAACATTTAAGCTTACAATAATATATGCAACATTTAATTTCAATTCTTTAAATCTATTTACAAATATAATACTATTCATGTGACTCTCACAGCTTAATTTGAAACAAATAGATTACTTTTGGAGAAAAATATTTAAGAAATATAATTCATTATCCAACCTTAAGAATAAATCATATTATTACAGAATGAAAAAAAGTTGGCAGAATAAATTAAAAATGCTTAAACAGCATTTAATTTTATTTTTTTAATATTGATTCCTGTTTCAATAATATTGAACCTTTATGATTATTTGTGGGCAGTATTAGAAATATTAAGCTGGGTAAATAATTTTTATTTTTTAAATGTTAATTATCCATTTAATGTAGAAATGTTCTTTTTAAATTCTGATTGGTCATCTTTTATTACTTTTCCTACATATTAAGAGTTAAATTAGCCAGATTGCTCATATTACTTTTAAGCACCTTAGAAATTTTAAAATAAAGGAATAGATCCATTATTCTTTAATAATATTTAGATTCCATTCATTTTCATAATCATTACTTTCATTTTATATGCAATTAATTTCTTATTATTATAATTCTTTAATGCAATAAATGAATTTCAAAAAATAAAATAAATCAAAATCAATCATAAACACTTTAGTATTTTTAATTTGTAAGTTATTAAAAAAACTTAACATAGTATAGTTTTATAGAAGTAAAATTAGAAGAAAATATAAATTAATAGCATATTAATGAAGATAATAAGTATTTTTATTATTATGGATAAAAAATTGAAAAATAAATTAAAATAAACTCTTTCATTATGTTTGCTAGATATTACCCTAGCAATTATGTTATAAATTACTTTTTCAAATAATAATTAAAATATCATCGTTGGTTTAAATTCATTTTTTGCTATATTTTCTATTAATATCATTTTGTTTTAGCTTTATCAATAATATAAAACACTTAACATTCACAGATTGCTTGCAGAAAATAAATAATACAAAGAGTAATTTGAGGTTTATTATGAAAATGTTAATACCAAAGAATAATTTGGGTATTATTTTAAGTTTTTTGGATTGATTAGAAAGATTTTATACATCTTTTTTATGGTCTATTATTATTATACACCCATTGTTTAAACATCATTATGTTTTATTTCTACTTCAATTGGAGTAATGTTTATTCTATATTAAAATCCATATAATACAAAGAAGGAATTTTATTTTTAGCTTATTTCAGAATTAAGTTTAAGTTTAATATTATTAATTACAGTGTTATTTTCAATAAATGATACAAAATAGATAATTTTTATACAGGAAAATACTGTAAACTTAGGTTGGGCTGTTATATCATTTGTTCTATTAGCAATCTTTGTTTAATTATTTGGATTAACTTATGGATTGATTACAAATATCTACTAAATAATTTTGAAAATTAAAAATTATATCTAGAGTTTAAACAATAATAAAATTGAATAAGGTAATTAAATCCATGGCCATGAAGATATCTAAAATAAATCAAATTTGAATTAAATCGATGAAAATTAAATAAAAGAATAGAAAATAATAAGAATAAAAGAAAACTAATTATAAATAATTGATTTATGAAATAATATTTAATTATTTAAATAAAATTTAGATGGTTTATTATTTATTTAATTGACATTTTTATTAATTGATTTTTACATATTAAAAAAGAAATCAAATAATTTATTGGATTTAGCATGTTTAAAAATATTTTTTTTTATTATATAGTAATTAATATTCCTAAATATGAACATA